ATCGATGCCCGCTGCTGGGGCGGCTGCCGCCCCGTCGGGCGCTCCCACGGCGCCGAAACCCAGACCCGCGGCAGCCGCGGGCCCCGCCGCGCCCGCGGCGGGTAGCGCAACCGCGCCTGCGGGTGGGGGCGCCGCTGCTGCTCCCGCGGCTCCCGCTGCTGCTGGCACGACGGCACCGCCCCCTGCGGGTGGCAGAGGGCCCCCCACTGGCATGAAGGCGGGGATCGACGCCGCCTGTGAGCCCGCGTCGAAGATCGCCCCCGGCGCCAGCGCGAAAGTCTGCAGGGCCGCGTCCACGCCCTGGGCCTCCAAGCGCAGCGCGGCAAGCTCGGCCACGCTCGGGTCCCACTGGACCGCGGCGTGCGGCGGCTCGCACACCCAGTCGACCTGGGCGCCAGCAGCGCCAAACGGCGGCATGCGGAGGGCTCCCCCTCCAGGCACGACCACAGCGCGGAAATGCCCTGGCAACAGGCGCACCAGCACCCAGATGAACGTGACCCCCGTCGCGTCCGTCGTCAAGCCCAGGCTGTAGTCTGCGCCCCGCACCTGCCCGAAGACCAGGACCTCGTCCCACTCGCCGCCGCGGGACAGCAGCACCCAGCAAGGGTCGGCCGCCCCGACGGCTACGCCACCTGCAAGCGCCATCTCCACCAAGGCGTACTCGAGAGCGGTTGAAGCGGCTGCGAGCTCGCGAGCGCGTGCGCGGTCGGCCCGACGGGCCGCCCTCCAGCCACGGAGCCCTCCGACGGCCTGCGCGCCCAGGGCCCAAGCAGCCCCAAGCGCCGCGCGGCCACGCGTCCAGGCGGCTCGGGCTCCCCGTGCCAGCCAGCCGCGATGCTCCCAAGCGAGAGCAAGCAAGGAGCTCGCGAAGGTCGCTGCCGCCTGCAGCGCGCGCCAGCCCCAGCAAGAGGCAGCGTGGGCGGCCTCGCCCAGCGCGGCGACGCCTCGCGCCCCCGCGACAGTCAGCACCCGAGCCGCCTCCGGCCCGAAGTGCCCAGCAGCCCAGCTCGCCAGATGCCAGGCCACCTGGCTCCAGAGCAGCGCCCCCGAGCCAGCGAGGAGGACTGATCGCGCGCAGACTGCGACCTGGGAGTGGCTCGTCGTGGCGCCCGTTCCGATCGCCGCCAGGCGATCTTGAGCCAGAATGATTACGAGCGTGAATCCTGAAAGAGAAGCTGGCAGAACATTGAAGGCAGCCAATTCCAGGAGCACGGACGTCGAGACGAGGCTGGATGAGAAACCTGGCATTCCGAAAACTATCCAGCAAGCTCTATCTATATATTTTTGAGTGGGAATGTGCTACCAGGTTGTCCACCGCAGGAGCAGTAAGCAAGACGAAGGTCAGCTGCTGCCAACACCTGCGTTGATGCATGCTCGCAGCACTCTTCGGCGGCGAGCCCAGGGGGGAAGTGAGAAGGGGCGGGCCTTCTCAGAAGGCTCGGAAGTCCCCCAGCCTTCTGACAAGTTTTCGAAGTCTTCCCCGAAGACAGAAGAAACCTCTCAGAAGGCGTGAGGGCCTCCGAGAAGTCCCGCCGCCTTCTGAGAAGGCCTTCTCCTTCTGAGAAGGCCTTCTCCTTCTGATTTCCCCCCCCTCGCTCGCCGCCGAAACACTCTGCCTGTGAACGCACTGCGCCCGACCGCGGCCGAAGGGAAGACGCGACAGCCACGACGGACAGACCATACTGGCAGACGCGCCAGGCACGACAACGGCGGGCGACCCCGCAGTTCTTCTCCAGCAAGATAAACACAAATGCGTGCGAGCGTGCCGGCCATCGCAGAAGTCACCGGGAACGCAGCGCGAACATAACTGAAGGGGCCCTGGGACACACACATGAATAAACACAAATCCCAGGATTCCCATTTTTTTCCAATATTTTCGGTATTTTCGTCTTCCCCAATTGTCCATATTTTCCTATATTTACCTGGGAATCGAAGGTTAATTGTTTCTGTTTTTTCCCCTCCTGAATTCATATACTCGGATAGCGCATCCCGCGCAATCGGAAGGAGATGGACGCAACGCGAGGCAACAAGTGTTATGATGCGTCCATCACGCCGCATGCCAGCTAAGGTCGCCTTCGTCGATTTCCCGCTCGCAACATGGCTCGCTTGGAGGGCTGAGATGGTGGTGTGAGGAAGAGGAGGCAAAGGAGGAAGTGGACAGTGATCACAAAGAACAGGAGGAGGGACGAAAAGAAGGATCAGGAAACGAGGAACGGGAGGAGGGACAAAACGAGGAGGAAAAAGAGGGGCAAGAGACGGAGGATGAGGACGAGGAGAACGGAGGGGACGAGGAGGACAGTGGAAGGTGGAGGGCGAGACTGGCAAGAACGGAGAAGCGAGTGGATACAGGGCAGGACAGGCAAGGATGCTGATGATGATGATGGTGATGATGATGCTGATGATGAGGATGAGGAGGAAGAGGAGGAGCAGGACGATGCAGAGCAACAGCAACTGCATAACCATGACGGAGGGAGGAGGGGGGGAGGGAGGAATAGGAGGAGACGCAACAGCAGCAGTGGGGGAGAGGGGCAAAAGCAGGGGCAGCAGGGAGGACACCGGAGGACGGGGAGGATGAGGAATAACATCAACTGGCGGGCGGATGCACGTGAAGACCGGGACGGGAAGAGGGGATGATAATGATGCTGCTGCTAATGATGAAAACGATGGGGAGGAGGGGAGGAGGAGGAGGAGGAGGAGGAGGAGGAGGAGGAGGAGGAGGAGGAGGAGGAGGAGGAGGACGGAGAAGAAGGGAGAAGGCTCCCGGAGGACGGGGAGGAAGAGGAGGAAGAGGAGGAGAAGGAGGAAGAGGAGGAGGAAGAGGAGAAGGAGGAGGAGGAGGAAGAGGAGGAGGAAGAGGCTAATGATCAGGATTTGTGGGGGAAAAGGTGAGGGTATAACCAAGCAGTGCGACATGATGATCAGGAGCAAGTGCATGGACATGCCTGGGCAGGTATGCAGGCGGGCGGGATTGCTAACAGGAGCTGGTGTTTCTGCATTCCCATGTCCTGCTGCTCCTCCTCATGATCCTCCCTTCTCCCTCCTCCGCCCCGCTTCCTTCTTCTCTTTCTCCCTCCTGCTCCCCTTTCTCCTTCCTGCCCTTTCTCACGTATGTATGTATGTATGTATGTATGTATGCATGCATGCATGCATGCATGCATGCATGCATGCATGCATGCATGCATGTATGTATGTATGTATGTATGTATGTATGGAATGTAGGTAGGTAGGTAGGTAGGTAGGTAGGTAGGTAGGTCGGTCGGTAGGTAGGTCGGTAGGTCGGTAGGTAGGTAGGTAGGTAGGTAGGTAGGTAGGTAGGTGTGTATGTATGTATGTATGTATGTATGTATGTATGTATGTATGTATGTATGTATGTATATATATATACATATATATATATATATATGCATGTATAGCTGCCAGATGGCCGCGGAGCGCGGCACGCTCCCTGTGGGCGCGTCCTCGCCGAATCTCCCATAATCCTCGACGACGACACTGGCGCGCCCTTGTGGCGAGCTCGTGTCCAGCGTCCTGCAGTGGCAGCAACGGCTTCGTCCCGCGTCGCGGCGCTCACGACCGTGAGGTCGATCAGGAGTGGCCTCGCGACGCATGGCGCGTGCACCACCGAATCCACGCGGGCAGCGGTGCTTTGCGGCGAGGCGTGGAGCAGCGAGGCCTCCCGGTGCACCACGCAGCTTTGGTCTTCGCGCCAAATTGCTAACACCGCGCGGCCCGCGTCGTGCCGGCGGACGAACGACCCGCCCACCGCGCGGCCTCGCGCGCGCGGCCTGTGGATCTAGCGGCGCACCGCAGACGTCGCCGCCTGGGCGGGCGCAGGTGCTGACAGAACCCATTGGAGAACCTCATGCCGAGGTTGACCCAGCACCCTGTCGCGATGCCAACTGTATGTGCGTCGGTGAAGCGGTGGCGCGCCCGCGTGGGGGCCTGTGTGCCGTCTGTAAGTTGGCCGTGGCTGCTGGGAGGCAGCGGCGCGCCTGCCAGCTAAAGGCGGTCAGGGCGCTGGCGTCTGTCAGGCCCGGCCTGCGCAGGCAACGCGGCGGGCAAAGGTGCCACGAGGCGGAGTGAGCTGCTGGCGCCGTCAACTCCACGCTCTGTAGCCCCATGCCTCCTTCTCGTCCGGTGAGGAAGGGTTGCTTGTCGGCGTACTCGCCCAGCTGCAGCCCGAGCGGCAGGGCATGGTATGCCTCTGTGGCCAGCGCCGCGTCCACCGCTCTGGCGTCAGCCGCTGGGGTGCTGCATGCGGGGCCCAGGAAGGTGAAGTCCGAGGCAGTCCTGTGCGGCAGCAGGGCCAGCGCCATTTGTCGGTCTAGGCCGGCGGCCTGCGGGTGGCGGAGCCGCAGGACGAAGCGGGCGCGATTCTGCGCCAGGGCCGCCAGCTCGGGGCTGCCTTTGGACAGCAGGCTGCCGCAAGTAGGCCAGGGCGGCCTCTGGGTCCACAAGGGCCCTCGGGGGCCCACCGTGCCGTAGCACCAGCGCACGAGGCTCCACCTCCCGCCTGCCAAGCAGCGCGGCAACGGCCACCCTCCCGCCTCGGAAGGCGGTGGGTCTTCGCCGGGTTGCGGCGCAGCCCCGCCGCAGCGCAGGCCCACGCAGACGCAGGCTCCTCGGCGGGCTGCGTCGCGGTGGCGGCGGCGCCGCAAAGCGACGTCCGGGCCATCCCGGTAGCAGCAGCAGCAGCATCTGCTCGGCTCCGCCGCCGCGCGCGCCACCCGCTCTGCTGCTTCGGCCACGCCCAGGGCAGCGAAGCGGGAGGCCACAGCTCCTGCCGCCTGCTGCTCCCGCCCCTCCGGGAGCCTCCTCCTTGCTCCTCTCTCCTCCTGCTCTCCCTTCTCGACCTCCGTCCTCGTCGTCTCGTCCCGTCCCCATCCGTTCCCCTCCTCCTCCTGCTCCTGCTCCGTCCTTCTCCTCCTCCCACGCCCTCTTGCTCCTCCACATCTTCCTCCTGCCCCTTCCGTCTTTCCTCCTCCTCCGCAAGCGCAGGCCTCCAAGCGTCTCAAGGTGGACTCTGGCTTCGCAGGCGCCTTCGGATCGTCCGGCCCCCTGCGCAAGGGGGACAAGAGGCACACGCCGCACTGGCAAAAGCAGGAGAGGAGATTGTGGGGGAGCGGGGGGATGCGGTCTGGTGCGTCCAAGAGGGGGGTGTGCAAAAGGGGGGCGTGCAAATCGTGGCCCGAGGCGCGTGCGCGGACCAGGGGGGGGGGGGGCCGGAGCTGAATTGCGATGTGCCATGCCGCGATTTTGCTCTATAGCGTTGTGGATCGAGTCCTCCTTTGCATCCGCGTCCTGACGGAACTGATCTGGATCTTAAGCTCGAGCTGCCTGAGCACATAGTAGCTGCCCCAGAGCGGACATGCCAGGAGGACGCGCCGCTGACCGCCCCAAAAGACGCGCCAGGCGACGTGCCAGGGGACGTGCCATGGGGACGCACCTCGGGACGTGTCTTCAAGGGGACGCGCTACGGAACGTGCCAATGGACGTGCCACGGGGCTTGCCAAGGGACGCGCCGCGCGACGTGCCAAGGGGGCTCTCCACTGGACGCGCCACCGAACGTGCCAGGTTGCAATGCTGAGTCAATCGGCCTTGATGTGCCGTGCCCAGGGCTGTGCTGTGCTGCGCAGTGCTGAATTGCAGTGTGTCATGCCGCGATTGTCTTTTTTTGAATTGTGGATCGAGTCCTCCTTTGCATCCGAGTCCTGGCCGAACTGATCTGGATCTTAAGCTGGAGCTGCCTGGGCACATAGTAGCTGCCCCTGTGTGTGGGGTTAGAGTACAAAGGTACAGAACCCCTGATCCGTTGGTAGAGGAAAGGAGGGAAAGATGGATATCCTTTCCTCCTGCGTGATCAAAGGTCTGATCGATCTAGTCCAATACCTGAGCCCAAACGGCCAGGCGCAGGAGAGGTGGGGATAAGGAGTACATATGAAGGTATTATACGGGTTCTATTCACACCCCCCGTCCCGAATCCCGCCCGTGAGGACAGGACTCGGGGAAAGGAGAAAAGAACCTGTGAGATTTTTACTCCTCAAATCCTCAGCACTGCGAGGCAGCTGAGCGTGAAATCTGCATCGCTTCAGCTGCGTCCCAATCACGACAGCGGTGTGCAAAAGGAAACGTAGCACAAGGCTGTCACGATTAGGCAAGTAAGGGTAAGAAGGAACACCCAGGGTCCCTGTTTCTTCGACAAGCACACTTTGGTGCCCCCTCGGTGCGCCCCCCAAAAGCGCTTCGGCACTCGAGGGCGGAGAAGAATGGGACACGGGTGGGCGGAGCAAGAGGATATGATCAGTTAAAGCAACATCAGAAGCTGCCGCGCCTGAGCGCGGCAGGTGTTGCCACCAGCTCTCAAACTAGAGCTGGGCATCATATCATTCTCAACGCAATGTAAGTATAGTGCAAAAAATAAACAAAACAAATATGTGTAACATCGAGTCGTGTTGAGGAACACGATCGCGGTAATAACCACGTCTAAATCTCAAAGCAAAAGCGTGGCCACGCGTAAAGTCGTGCTGACAAACACGAAAAGTTGCATAACTTAAATCTGCAATTGGTTACTCCCCTCGGCGGTGCTCCTTAGGAGCCTGCCTTGGGTTTCACAAGCGTGGGTGTGGCCACTTTTCTTGGATAGTGAAGTGGCCTAAAATTCTATTGTTATTCACTGCTCGAGGCGAACTTGTATAAAGATGAAGTTCAAGCCAATCGAGCGGTGGGCCTTGCGGCCGACTAAACTACGCGTTTCCTCTCGCGTAGAACCTCTGGTCCCACACCCTGTGGCCATCATTCGCGACGTAGCTCGTCGTGAATGTCTCCCAGGGCGTCCTGGGGGTCCAGTTGGGAAACCTATAGTTGTGCAGCAAGTCGCGGACGTGCACGAACTCGTCGTTGTTGTCTGCGATATATATATATATACACATATATCCAGCATTTGGCGTAGTAGCCCCAGCACCCGGGGCCCCGCTGACTCTCCTCCAGGTTCTTGCGCCACCGCATCGCGTAGTCCTCTGTCCTACGCGCCCGCTTGGCACGAGGAGGCGTTGTTGGTCTGCGGCTGGCGTCGCTGCTCTGCCGCTGCGCGGCGGCGCCGCGCGGCCCAGCGGGCATGTCACCCTGCGCGCCAGAGGCGCGGGATCCAGCAGCATCGCCATGGGCAGGGCGCGGCGGCGGCGGACGCCGCGGCTGCCGCGGCTCCGTGGCGCCATGTGAATGTGAGGAGTGTGTGTCGGGATCGACCGGATCGGTTCTGATCCCTGAACCCGCCCCCCTTTGATTAACATGTCCCATTGCAGGTTCGATGGAGGCCAGTGCGGCAAGCTTGCGCTGCGTGACTTTCTCGCAAGTGCCGTCCCCGCGGGGGTGGGCAATTGTGACAAGACCACGCTCTTGCCTAGTGCCTCTGTCGAGTCTACCAGTGTTCAACCACCAATTCCTCCGACCGGCGAAGCCAAGCCTGACGCTGTGATCATGAATGTCACAAGCATCACGCATGTCTTCGATGGTGAAGGCCTTTTTGCCAGTCTCAGTGCGAGCGGCAGTCATAGGGTGGCGGAACCGTATGTGATTCAGGAAACGCTGAACGAGAATGGCGAAGGGGTGGTATAGAGGTCGGTCGTCCTCAGCCTCGCCCATCAGCCTGCGCATGCGTGCAGGAGGGGAGCCTGCGCTAACCCACCTCTGATACCTCTCCGCAGCTTTCTTCGCGAATCTCCTCAAGGTATCCTTCTCCTGACCAGCCATGGAGCGCTTGCCCATCATGTGGACACGCGCTCCATCTGTCATATACCTGGTGATGTCGTCCTGGGAGAGTTTCGTCTTGATCCAGTGGTTCAACTGCTGGAGGTATGCCAGGTCGCTCTCCACGGCGCCACCTTGGCCCATAGCACCTACAGAGACAGTGTACTGCCAGCAGATATCACAAATTGTACCGTCACCTGTGACGATTCCCAAAGACAGAAAACGATCGCAATTCCGACATCGCGCTATATCATGCTGGATCTCTTCAGGGGCCCCAAAGATAGCAAGGTGCCCAAGAGATCCCCAGCGGGTGGTGCCACCGTCCGTGGAAGCAAGACCACGGCCGATTTGGTTCGTTGCCTCACGATGGATCTCAGCGGTCGGACGGGAGGCGATCGATCGGCCGATCCCCTCGATCTCGATCCTAGACAGTCTTTCCCCCGGTAGTCCTGCGTGCCCGGAGGTGTCGGTGTCCGCAGTATCAGTATCACCATGGTGTACGTTGTCCGCACGGATGCGGGTAGCCTCTGCCTGCAAGATGGCCTCGTTATCGCCCACCTTGCGGTCAATCTTCTTTGTGTTGGCTTTGATATGTACCATGGTCTCTTGGTCGGGGGCAGCAGAAGCAACGCTACCTGGATCCCTGGGGATATCCTGGTTGGCGCCTGGATCGTCCTGGTCAGGCGCGGCAGGCGTTTCCACCGGCTCCTTCCATGCGGGGAAGCCTGGGTTGCCATGTGTCCTGATGCATTGCGCGAAGAGAGCGCGCAATGTATTGAGGGCAGGATGGTTCTGATAGATAGCATCATTGGTGAAATCACGCAGCTCCTTGATGCTGTCCAACAATATGATGTGGTACACATTGGAAATCCAATGAAAGATACCCGTGGTCGATTCTTCAATGATTTCTGGGTCCAGGTAGTGTGCAGTCTTTGTGAAGAAACAATCTGCACTGCAAATCGGTAAGTCGCGTGCCCATTTGTGGGTATGATCGAAATCCATTTGGTATGCCTCTGTTTTTTGACCAAATTGTATCTCAAATCGTAGGCATGACTCTATCCTGTCCACCACAAGGTTGGCCCTACCAGCGTGTGCCTCAATAATTTGTTTTACCTTATCATTGGAGAGTCCACCAATAGCTCCGACGTCCAGCGGTATATGCGGTGGTCGTAAGATTGCAAGATCCATCTGGTATTATCCTCTGGCTCGTAGTCGGGGTGGTTGAGGAAACCCTCTGGCGGGTCAATGATATTATCAAGGATGCTCGAGCCAATGTCCTCATCAGCGTGAATCTCTGCCGACAATTCCGCCTTCATGGTATCATTGGCTGCTTTTTCCTCATCTGTGAGTGGTATGGTCGATATATCCACAATGACGGTTACCAGATGGTCGTTGGATTGGCCTGCGTCGTGTCGGGATCCCTCGTCGTCTGCCGTGGGATCCTCGGCAGGTGTTGCCACCAGCTCTTCGGGATCGGGTGTCTGAGGAGCGGGGCGTCTGGTCGGCGTACGTGGGATACGTGGTTTGTAAATGCTCGGCATACCAAGATATGGTAGATCACCTGATTCTTTAAATTTATAGATCTGATCGCTGCATGAAGATGGGCCCTGAAGTGCAACGTTCATGTGAATCGGGTTGATGTCGGTACGTACTGGCATAGCGAAGACAACGCACTTGCAGTCCATCTTCATGAGCTCGCGCGCGATGGTAGGGGCGCGGTCCTGATGGCGACGGGTGCCCAACATGGTCTGACCATGATTAGCGCACGCAATGTCGTTTGCACTCCAGACCACCATGGCGTTGATACCCCTGCAATAGTGTCTTTGTTTCACGTATGCAGGAAAGTCGTTAGCCCAATATCCCCATATGGGCTCATTCAACTTACGCCACTCTTTCATGGAAGCATTGTCATTCATCAGCGACAAGCCTCTGGCCTTGCGGATCATGATGATCAAAATGCGCTGTTCGAGTATTGACTCAAATTGCGATGCAAGGATAGCTGTGATACGGTTCTCCTGTGTCTGTGCAGGCTGTTCGCGGAGGCGTTCCATGTCGCAGCGGGTGTCGCCACCAGCCTCTGGCAATAGAATGCAGTCCTGGCCAATCGCCGTGTCGTACTGTTTGAACCATACTTTGTAATTGCCAAAGGAGAATTCCCACATCATAATGTCGTCGCGGATAACGGTCGACAAGTGCTCGAGGGTGGCGCCGCCGATGTATTCTGCACGGTTGAGGCACGGCATAAATAGAGGTACGAGGCCAGCATTTGATGCCTTGGCGAGGGCATCTCGCTGCTGTGGGCTGTTGAGCTC